GCCTACCTTGAAGAGCCTGTACTCTCTCACTTCTTTAGGAATTTCATTTTGGTTGTTCCCCTGCTCAGAGACTTTGCTATTTAAGGCCTGGATCCTCCAGTGAGGTCAGTGCAAGTAAACCCATAAATGCCACTGAACTCAGCAGGTCTTTGAAAAGACCCAGTAATTAGATCCAACTGAAGGATTGATCACTCGAGCAGTACAACTCGTTGGGACAGAGATGGTGCCTTCCACTGCATCGGGACAGTCTTGAATACAACAGCAGTGTCTGATAAATAAATAGCAGAGTTCCACCGTTCAGGGAGCAACCGGACTAGAGGAACCCACAAGCCGTCCTTTAACAACAAACATACAGGGGCCTGTTATCTATCTGGTTTGAGGAAAGGGAGCAGCGTGGAAAGGGATGAATGGGCACGTTGGGGATCTGATTCACAGGCTTTAAGGTATGTGTGCTCTTGCTCTCTTGCAGCTCTGTTCTCTGACAGGCAGCAGCATCCATGATCTAAAACACCCTCCCTACCAAACATGAATAACTCAACGCTTGGGCAACCAGGCCCATCACAGGAGGACAGGCTGATTTGTTTGTTAGAAACAGATGACAGTGTCCAGGAGGACAAACCTGCAGTGGATAAGCAGGGAGAAAGAAGAGAGGCAGGTGGAAAGAAAGAAGAACTACCACCACTGGAGACTCCCTTTGAGAAGGAAAGCAAGGATTTTGCTCCTAAAATCAAGGTCAATTTGAATTATCGACGACAACCTGCCAGCAAGTAAGTAACAGTGGGTTCTGCTTGTGGGAAATCTGTTACAAATGAAATTCAGGATGGTGCCAGGGACTTTGCAAGAGGATGAACAAGAATAAAAGTGCAGGAGTCCTGCCCACACCCAAAGTGGGGTGGTATGAAACTAGGGCTGGGGACATATTAGCCTTTTTTCTCCAAACTCAGAGGGCCAGTCTGCCATGCACACTGCCTATATCCAAGAATAGCAGTAAGCAAGCTGACTCCAGTGCCACAGGCCATCTAGCCATGGCAGAAATGTGCTCTATCCAAGTTAATTTACTTTGGGTGGAGCTCCTTGCCACTGTGGCTAACCCACTCATGGCTGACTGTTTGCTTTTCTTCAGTAGCCAAAAGGACACAAACCGCTTTGACAGAGACCGGCTTTTTGGTGCAGTCTCAAAGGGCAACGCAGAGGAGCTGGATGGCTTGCTCAGTTACTTGGAGTTAACCTCCAAATTCCTCACTAATTCAGAATATACAGGTGGGTACCTGCTCAGCATGTTCTCTGCTGGTTTAACCAAGGCATTTCTTCTTAGCAGTAGTGGAGCACAAAGGCTTTGCTGCTCAGTTTGAGTCAGTGCCAGAGAAAACATCTGTAGCCCCACATCTCTCTCTTTGCCTACAGTAAGCCTTTTCACCAAACCAGGGCTTTGGTCTCTGGCCCATTTGTAGATAGAAACAAGGACTGGGTACAGGCCTGGCAGGCTGGATTCTGTGCCCAGCTGTGCTGCTGACCCAGTATGCGACTTTGAGCGAGTCATTTCTTCTCTCTCTGCCTGATACATACTCACCTGTCTCCATGGCCGCTCTCTGGCTGAAAGGTGATCATGGCATTTTCTTCCAAGCCCCAGCTCCTAGTGAAGATGCTGTGAGAAAATCATTTAAATGCTTTGCTAAGGATTGAGTTCTGGGCAAAAGGAAATCAGTGGTGCAGCCATGTACAAAACACCCACATGCCTCCTCCATGCTCTTTTTCAGATGCAAAGACAGGGAAGACCTGCTTGATGAAAGCCCTGCTGAATTTAAAAGATGGGAAGAATGCCACAATCCCAGTTTTACTGAAAATAGATGAGGACAGAGGACATAGACCGCCTCAAAAGATGCTTGTTAATGCTGCATGTACAGATAATTATTATAAAGGTAAGGTATTTGCAAGGGCATGTTTCTAACCTTGTGGTCAAAAGACAGACAGGCACCAGTGTCCAACCTGCATCTGCAAGTCATTAAAAAAGATAGCATTTTCTACCCGTTTGATGCAGCCAGTTATGCCTGGGAGTCCACAGTTATCTCGGGTGGACCTGGGAATCCAAAGAATAGAGAACACTGCTGTTGTCATTTGGATACTTTTGTGGGGGTCTGGTCATGACATCTCTGTGATTTGCTCTTTGCAATGCCATCTTCCTTAGGGCAGACAGCACTCCACATTGCCATAGAGAAGAGGCAACTGGAACTAGTGAAGCTCCTGGTAGAGAAGGGAGCTGATGTCCATGCCAGGGCCCATGGCATGTTCTTCAAGAAGAAAAAGGGAATTTGCTTTTATTTTGGTAAGCCAACATTAGAGGCTTCAGTTCAGTGTCCTGCAGTACATGGGGTCCCTGAAACTAGCTGGGTTTGTCTTTGCAGGCATTGTGTGTAATCTCTATCCAACAACCCAGGAGATCCCAACATGTGTGAGTGGCTACAGCTCTAAAAGTCAAAGCTCTTCTCTAGCCAACCGCTGCTTGCCACCTGATGTTTGGTTGTGTGTACTCTACCCTGACCAGGGGGCTTTAAAATGCAGTCTCATCTGCAGCCAAGTGTGACAATGAAGTAAATAGAGGCAGTGGATCCCACCTCATACAACAAATGCCCCTATCTGAATTCAGAGGTCTTGTGAGGAAAACCCCCAAGCTGTTACCACAACAAAACCGCATATGATAAGGCAGACAAGGTTCCTTGGGTGAATTTGATATCTTTTATTAGACCAACCCAAATGGTTGGAGAATAGTTATTAAGCAAGCTTTCGGGTTCAAAACCCCTTTTTTTTCGGGTTTTTGAACCCGAAAGCTTGCTTAATAACTATTCTCCAACCATTTGGGTTGGTCTAATAAAAGATATCAAATTCACACAAGGAACCTTGTCTGCCTATGTCCTTAGACCAACACGGCTACAACCCAAACCCCTGCATATGATAAGTACATTGTTCTCTTAAAACTGATTACTTTTTCCTCAACCTGGCCCCAATCTCTCCAGGTGAACTTCCCTTGTCCTTGGCTGCTTGCACCAACCAGCTCAACGTGGTCCAGTATCTCCTGGAGAACCCCCACAACAGAGCCAGTCTCCAGGAAAAGGATTCTCTGGGCAACACAGTTCTCCATGCCTTGGTGATGATAGCAGATGACACCCAGGAGAACACAGAGTTTGTGAGCAAGATGTATGATGAGATCTTAAGGGCAGGTGTGAAGATTGTCCCAACACAGAAGCTGGAAGAGGCAGTGAATTGTGATGGGTTAACACCACTGCAGCTGGCTGCCAAGGGTGGCAAAGTAGAGGTAAACACAACTTAAAGGGGTTTTCTGGGTGTGGTGAGAAGCAGAGAGGACAGTGGACTGCATTCCCTGCCTAGTGGCTGGGCTTTATGTAGGTGCATCCTACATTTTACTGCATGAGAGGCTCCTCAGTGAAATCCTTTTGCCCCACAGGCAGCAGCCTCACCACAGGAGGCATCAAGGAAACCTCTAGCTCATCCCATCTGGAGCTGTGCATTGTGATTGCAACTGGGTGCTGATGCTCTGAGTTTGAGTGGAGCAGGGGCTGGGCTGAGATTTGCATGAGCTGTGCTTTGGTTGGATCATCTAGCAATTGGGCACAATAATACCTGCAAAGCGTACTGTGAAAGACACATGGCCATGGGGGTTTGAGCCAGCTCGTGGATTCTGGGGAAGTCATCCTGCATCTCTGTGGTTATCTGCATAATAAACAAAGTTTCCCTCTAGATCTTCAAACACATTCTTCAAAGAGAAATTGAGGAGCCAGAGTACCAGCACCTGTCACGCAAGTTCACTGAATGGACCTACGGCCCCATCCAGGTGTCTCTTTATGACCTGTCCTCAGTTGATAACTGTAAGAATTCTGTGCTGGAGATCCTGGCCTACAGCAGTGACACACCGGTGAGTGCTGACACCACCTACTCTAAAACCAAACCGTTTTGCCTGGTTATTTATTGTAGTGTCGCCGTGTAGCTATGTCAACCACATACAGTTAACAGGGTCTTTCAGACCTAAAGAAAATTATATTGGCCTACATGTAATATTACTGTTGTGTTTCAGACCATTTGCTTGTAGAGAAATAGTTTCATAGTTGAGCATGCAGATCTGTATATTACTAATGATGTGAAATTAGCATATATCATTAGCTGTTAAACACCTTAATGCTTTCAGATAATGTGCTTTAAGGAAAGCAGTTTGGATCTTTTTGTCTTTGTCCCTGCCATGGGACCAGTGCCTTAGTTTGGATCTTTCTATGGGCCTTGACAGGGCTATGTCAGACCAGGCAGTTCCCCCATCTCCAGTAAGATGCCTGGCTCCTTTCATGCTGAGATGTACAATTAAACAGACATGCTGGGATCCCCTAATTCTGGCCATTGAATATCACCGCTGGACCAAGACGGCTTTATGGTGATTCTGGATTCATGGTGTTGTGTTTATTTTCCCATGCCAGAATCGATACAAAATGGTGGTTTTGGAACCACTGAACAAACTGATTCAGCACAAATGGGACACTTTTGCTGCCAGGAGATTTTACTTGAGTTTTTTTTCTTATTTGATGTTCATGATCATCTTCTCAGTCTTTGCCTACCATTGTCCTCTGCACGAGCAGGTGAGTCGGGTTCGCTTTGATGGGGTGGAATAGAACAGTGCTGGGGCGATGGTGGTTACAGCACTGACTGCTGTTCTCACAGTGTTGCTTGAATCTTGCAGCCTCTGTTCCCAATGGAGTTCAATGCTGAAGGCTTCCTGTGGCTCACTGGACTGATCATTAACTTTCTGGGAGGCATTTACTTCTTAATTGCTCAGGTATGGAGACACATAGCCTGACTACTCTCTACTGAAGGGCCCATCATCCTGATGTTGGTGCACCCCTCTATTTCCATGATACCATATGGGTGCACAACACTTCACAGACCAATGGCAGGACAGGTTCTTCCATGAGATGCTTCTTAGATGAGTTGGGTGCAGGACAGCAAAAGACATCATGAACAAGAATTTTGGAGATGATTAGGGAGAGGGTCAGAACAGCAAAAGATTATGAGATACTTTTGGGACGTGCAGTGGTACAATACTGAAAATTACTAGATACATTCTTTACAAAAAACACGAGGGAGCTGTGGCTTAGCTTCTAATTCTGTATTTGCTTGGAAGGGGGATTATCTGGATTGTTGGGTCACTGGAACAAATGATTTAGAAGAAAAGGCTGTGAACAACTCTTTGCTTCCTGTGCAGTGTGTTGTCCCAGGCAGGGATTGAATTCAAATATTCCCTCCTGCTATAAAAACTGTCCCTCTTGATTTTTTTTCTTTCCAATAGAGTCGGTACTTGTGGAGGAGGCAATTCTCTCTGAGGAACATCTTCTCTGATGATTGCATTGAGATCTTGCTGTAGGTTTCTTCATGTCTTGGGGAAACTGGAAGCAGGCGTTAAATCAGTTCTCTGTTGAGTGCAGTAGGCAGGTGGTGACCAGAGGCAACTGCTTCTCACACCTTTACTTCCACTCCAGTCCTATTTTGCCTTTTCTACCTGTTGTCATACTCCAACACTGTCATATCTCTGGGGCTGGGACTGCACAAACAGAAGGTGACAGTGCCCGAAACGATGGAGCTCTGACCCTTCCCTGGAGCCTCTCCGTGTTACTGTAAAGCAAATAATAGTAAATTACAACAACATGAGATTGTATGTGGAACTGGGCAGTCATGGTAGCTGAGACTTGACTGGGGGGGTATAGTTTCCCTGGGTTTGTACGTGTTTCAGTCTGTATGTGACAGGTCCAGTATCACACCAGTAACATGTGTGTAACTCCCCTTGTAGAAGAGAAGGGCCAGGTCTAGGGTGTCTGAGATTTTTCCATAACGTAAGATGGGCAAATGCATAACATATCTGCAACACACTTGTGCATAAAGTAGCTGACATGTGGGTTTGGTCAGAACACACTTTTGAGCCTCTATCCTATTATGCAACCTTTTGCAATGTGGCTGGGCCCCCCTGTAGCACTAAAAGGATTTGGAGCTGAGGCTTTCAGTCCATTTTGTAATGCTCTTTTTCCTCTTCCCCAACCTCCCTCCACCCAGCTTACTTCAGGGACTCTTGCTGCTGCTTTCATTAGTTCTATACTTGATGAGTTTGGAATACTACACCCCGTTGATGGTCTCCTCTTTGCTGCTGGGATGGGTGAACATGCTGTACTACACTCGGGGCTTCCAGTGCACTGGGATGTACAGTGTCATGATACAGAAGGTCAGTGCAAAGGGACAGCCTGCATCAGTGGCTTGCAGGTGTGAGGTATTGATACAAATGCTGCTGTTATATTTCTTTGCATCAAAGCCATGAAAGGAGGAAATGCTGTAGCTCTGCAAATGAAAACTACCTTTGGGATGAGACTAGATCCATCTCTCTGGGCAGCTGAGATGCTGCACTGAGACAGACCTGTTGGCTTTGCACCTCTTATGCAGCTGGGTTTCAAATGCTGGCTCAGGGCAAAAGAAAGAATGAGTTTGTTTGGTACTCACAGCTGATGCTTCCCTGCCTATCACAGAAATGGCATCTCTCTTCAGAAGACCTTTCTTATCACTGTTAAATCTTGGTTGAAGCTCATAGGCAGACTCAAGCATAGATTCCAGTGCTAGAATATGAGGGGTGCTCTAAAGCAGAGCCAAGGTGCGTTAGCAGAACTCTGTTCGGGTGTCTCAGAGTGAGAGAAGGCAGACTGGACTGGGTAGTCAGATGTGTAGCAGCAGTCCTGGACAGAATTACATAGGGTATTTGCATGGGATCAGACTGGATCAAGCTAGCCTTCTTCAGGAGAATTACGTCTTCTCAAAAATCACAACACAGCTTTATTTGACCTGGTTTCCCTGTCCCTTCAGCATGTTCCAGTGTCGTCTCCATCTGGCGGGGTCTGGGGAGAGACATTTCTGAGTTTCAGTCCCCTATTCAAAGCTGTTTACTTGCTGTGTGGACTTAGCAGGTGTATCAGAATTTGTTCACCTGTTAAAAGGGGGAAATGAGACTTCCTGCCTTCTCTGTTAGCATTAACGAGGTGACATAGCCAAAGCAGATATCATTGTCTGGTGAGCATGCAAACACTGCCACAGCAGCTTTGTGCTACATTAAATGCGAGGAATGGGGGTGGAGGGTTAATGATGCTGCCCCTGCTCTATGTTCCAGACCATCCTGAGGGACCTGCTGCGCTTCCTCCTGGTGTACGGGCTCTTCCTGTTTGGCTTTTCAGCAGGTACGGGTTCACTTGGCACCATGTCGCCGGCAGCATGGGGGAGAGCAGGCTTTCCCTGGATGACTCTGGGTTCTGCTTTAATTTCAGCTCTAGTCACCCTCACTGGGGAGCCCCCATCAGCTGCCCAGAACAAATCTGTTACCCAGGCGGAGGAGGATAAAGGCCGCTTTGGGTACGGCAGGATGTTTACCACCTCCCTGGAGCTCTTCAAGTTCACCATTGGCATGGGGGACCTGGAGTTCCAGGAGCAAGTGAAATTCAAATACTTTGTCATGCTGCTGCTGCTGTTGTATATAATCCTGACCTACATCCTCTTGCTCAACATGTTGATTGCGCTCATGAACGAAACTGTCACCAACGTCTCTGGTTATAGCAGAAGCATCTGGAAGCTGCAGGTGAGCGTGCTGCATGGCTAGCTGGGCAAGGCTTCCAGGGGCTCAAATACTGTTTGTAATGAACTGCCTGCTGCTGCTCAAAGACAGTGATGAGACCTGTTGTGTGTTTTTCCCCTGGCTCTGAAGCTTGTATGTGTACAAAGTGCCATGAGAGCACTTACTAAGAGACCCAGATTCCTCTATATCAGTGACTTGTTATGATCTAACACAGATGTTTATCCTCAGAGAACTACTGCCATTCTGGAAATAGAAAAGCACTTTTTGTGGTCCTGGGGAAGGAAGGAGAGATCTGGCTGCTTTGTGTCTGTGGGCCTTAATAAAGAAGATGAGAGATGCTGTTTCAGGTAGGATGGGGCAAGGGGGAGGCTTCCAACACTCCCAGTTCTGTGTCGTCTTCTACAACCGCATGTTGGCATTAGCAGAGGGAGAATCATGACACCAACCTACTTGGTCACAGAACTCTGTGTATTCCTCCCAGACCCATCACCATCGCATCTCAGTGCCAGGTCCTGCGACTAAGTCTCCCT